ACTGCTGGCAACTTCAGAGAGCTTCTTTACGTAGGGCCAGAGAGTGTCGACTAAGCAACTCCCTTCCTACCCTGCAGTGTTTGACTCATGGCATGATGCGAAATCGGGTTTCAGAAAAGACCAGGCCGGGTGCTTCTTCTATCTTCCTTGTCTTGCTCTTTCCCCAAGTTGTGCTTGTTCATTTCACCATCTACATGGGACTTTGCAGCCTGGAGCTTTTCCAACTAAACAGCCCAAAGCTTTGATGAGTATTCAGAGATCAATTGGGCTTCCCCAGGGAGCTGGCTCGCTCTCAAGGGGATTCAATGGAAATAAATCACGTTTGGCTGGTGTCTGCCTTCGTGTTCCCAGGGCTTGCTTTAAATGGATTCCTGAGATACATTCTCCTACTCTTCACTGGAGGATGGCAGAACAGATGTTCCCCCCACCTGTCTGAGAACCCCATTTGCCGAAGCGATCATTGACAGTCTTCCAACAAAATGCACAGCTTGGTTGTACACGTGTGCTAGCAGGCAGGCAGTTGGACATGGTGACCCACAGAGGTGGCTGAGGCACTCAGCCCTGCACACATGTGACAGACAAACTCAGCAAAAACCCTCAATTATCTGTCGTGATTAAAAACCCCTGCGTTTGGCTTTTTCTTTCACAATGTTTTGAACTGCCTGAGTGAGCTGAATTCTCCTTTTCAAGTTATCAGACTCAGCAGGTTCAGTAAAATTGCTCCTAAAGAGGATGCTGTCCAACCAAGAGAACTCACAGAACTTTCCAGAAGGAAGAAGGAAGTGGATCAGAATATCTCAAAGTTGGAATAGAGGTCCTTTGGCATGTGGACTGATGAAGTTAAAAACCAACGTGGCTTCGATCTGCCAGTTATGCCCAGAGTTCCGGGGAATTAAACGGAGAAGCACATAGTCAAATCCTCTGAGAGTCTGGTCCACATCAGTGAAATGAAAGGGAGCGATGAAGCAGATCTCCGGGTATCCAGCTGCTCCCCAACCTGACCTCACCCCTGTGGTTGAGTGAAAGGCCATTTAGAGGAGACTAATAAATGGAATTGGCCATCTTCTCCTATAGAACAGCCAGGAAACAGCTCCGTTCCCAACAGGCCACGTGTTAACTAGGGAAATGTATAAAGGCTAATGAGAGCGTTCATCTCGGGGTCACTACAGAAATATGGGTAAATGCCACCTGTGAGCTACGATTTTCCCTATAGACGTCAGGCCATCCCGAGCCACTGTTCCCACGGCAACTATAATTCAGTCGACGCTGCAAGGCTTGTCATAGAGGAGAAGGATGCTTGTGTTAGCGTTGCTGGGAGATGTGGCTCTTATGTACATCCAAGCCATGAGAAGTTGTGTTTTGTAGTCTTCTCTTGGCCATGCGGTCATTAGAGCCTGACAAAAAGTCTTTCTGCATCACTGAAAATAAGTGTTTTGTTACAGAAACACTCACACAGCTTCGAGCTTCACATTCATAAGGTCATAATGGCCCCCCAGATAGTGATATTCGAAACTCTTTATTCTTCCCTAAGGAATATCCAAAATCTGAGATTTTGAGCAATATAGTCCCAGCCATCAGGCTACCAGGACAGAGGGACGAGAAAATGATGTACTCCAAAATGGCTTTGAGAAAATGTATACTCATTTAAATATTCATGAGATGATGACTGAATTTATTATTTTAAATATAAATGCTGTGTACATCTTGATTTAATTTTAAGCACTTTTTTGTTATTGGGGGGGAAAAATCCTTGGGTGAGAAAAGTTAAAATAAGATTAAGGTGTTTAGAACCAACAGATGGCATAATGGTTATGTTATTGGACTTCCACATGGCTGACCATGGTTCAAGTCCTGGACCCAGAGGCTTGAAACTCATGCTAGGTGTGCGTGTGTGCATGCCCCAAATCTTGAGGGAAGAATGAAGGAGAATGGATTACAGCGTGGCTATCCCACCTGGGGAGCAATTTCTCACTTTCTGTCTCTCTGTCTCTCCAGTAAGTGTATGAACCCTATAGCAAAAATCTCTCTCCAAAAAGGAGAGAAAACCAAAAACAAGATTAAGGCGTTCACTTCAGTAAATATTTTGGGAGATTGGTCAGATGCCAAAATGCAATAATGAGATGGCATGATAGAAACTAGTCATTTCCCTGTAAGTTAACGCATTTACCTTTCCAGCCTAGAAAAAGGTCTGCTGTTGACACTGGGCTGAAATTCACCTAATCCTCTTATTGCTATTCTAGGTATCTGGTGCTGAAAATGTATTAAGCTGCTTCTTGCCTATCTATCAGAGAACTAACTTGTTTCAAGACAGCGGTGAGATAGAAATTGCCTCCAAACAGATGGGAAGCTAGTGAGGAGAGGAAAGGGGAAATCGATGCACATGTAAGAATATGGACTCATGACCAAAGACAACAAAATCACATAAACTCTCCCTGCTCACAAATGAAAAATAAATAAATAAACTTTATAATAAAACTGAAGAGTAACCAAACAGAAAAGGCTGTCGCCTAAAAGCAACACATTTCAGTGACCGATGGCTCCTGATTCTGTCCCTATCTGCCACCCCAAAAGGTTCACCTCAGAGGAAATGAAACGAGGGAGGGCAGTTAAGTAAGAAAGCACAGGCCTGCTTCTGCCCAAACAAGTAAAGAGTTTATGTTTTGATTCTGAACTGGAGAGATAATCAAGAGGCCAAGGGGACCACTCTGCAGAGGGTGGAGCGAACCCGGGTTTAGGTCATGTCACGTGTTTCTGAAGGACGAGCAGCATGCAAAGACTCAGTGTCACTGGGCATCACCTTAGCGGAGCCCTCTCTCTCGATGCCCTGTCAGGCCCTAGAAGAGCAGATAAGGCACAAAGCCTATGGCCCTCAAACCATGGCTTGAAAAGGGAAAGAAATTGATCTTCACTATGGTGGCAAGAGACTTTAGGAATCATCCGCATTTTATTAGAAGTATTTAATTAGCTGGACAAAGCTGATCCAACATGAGCAAGAGGAAAAGAATTAACCCAGCAGGTGCAAATAATGTTTCAGACAGGAACCTAGCACGCAAGTGCAAAGGCATAAGCCTACCCTTGAAGAGAAAATGTGAGTAATAGGATTCCCCCAATGGCTTCCTAAGAGTATAACTGACACGCTTAGAACTTAAGAGCATAAAAGTGTTTTAAACAGCTTAAAGAAAAGGTGATAAAGTGAGACAGGTGAAAAATAAGGGTCCTTCTGGAATCAAAAGAGAAGTTCCTTTTCAGTTCTCCTTATACAGGATATATCCAAATTGCGACTATGAACCTGACCACAGGCAAAAGCAAGAACCACCTGGAACCAGTAGCAGTCAAGATGGAACACCGAAATTGACTTAAAGTTGAAATACTCCTCATTTCCATACTGAAAATCATGCTAATGATATGTGCAGTGTGTGACAATACATGAATAGCCATGCATGAAGACCCTGAGCGGGCTCTCTCTCTCTCTCGGAAGAAATAAAATAAAATAAACTTAAACAATACATATGACAGACAAGGATATTAAAGTCAGAGAAATCCTAAAACATAGAAATACATTCAAATATTATACAATTGTGGATAGTAATTAGGGTCCCTGAATTCGAAGTCTAATAAAGGGAGCAGACGCTATATTGAAAAATAACAAGAAAATTTTTCAGAAATGATTAAAGGACCAAATCTATTCCAGGAAATATAACACAGTATGTTCAAACCCCAAACATATCTTAGTTAAGTTAGGTATAAGATCAAGGATAAAGAGATCATTCTTCAGGTCTCGAACTAGAATAAGTCATTTTCCCACAGGGGAGAAAAACCCATCAAGCTAGCTCAGACTTCTCTGTTGCCCCTAGAGTCTTGCTCGCTGAAAATGGAGAAAGAAAGTGACCGAAGGATATTCCGTCTAGCCACGATGTTGTTCACATATAAAGACAACAGGGACACATGCTTCAACCTAAAAGAACTAAAACTATTTAGAAATCTTCCTAAAGAAAATACTTCAGACTGAGGGTCCAGGCAATTAAAAAGCATAAAACTAACTGGGAAATGGAGACACCATGGGGAAAATAACCAGACTTGTTTAAATGTAGAACTAGGGACCAGCAGGTGGCACGGTGGTTAAGACACGACACTCCCACACGGCTGATCATGGTTCAAGTCCCAGACCTGGTGCCTTGCTTTCTCACTTTCTCCCTCTCTCCCTCTCTTGTCAAATTAAAATAAATGAATGAATAAATAAAATTTTAAAAAATAGAGAGAGAACTAATACTAAACCACTATGGGAACTAATCTCACAAATAGAAAAAGAATGTTATCAATGGAGCAAACTACAACTAACTAAAAAACCTAGAAGATAGATGACCAGAGAAGGAAGAGTGTGAGGGTATTCATGTTCTCTGTGAGCACTGTCTAAAGTTATAACATGCTGTTTAAAATGTAAACATGATAGGACATGATAACTTACAGTACAGAAACTTTCCTAGAAATTTAATTAGTTGTTCCTTTTTTTTTTTAATCTCTGCTGTTCAGTCACAATTTAAATGTATCTTTGTTGGAACCAGCAGATGGTGTAATGGATATGTTGCTGGACTGCCACATAGTTGACCATAGTTCATGTTAAACCGGGTGCGGGTGCATGTGCATGCATGTCTGAGATCCCAAGAAGAGAATGGAAGAGAAGGGATTACAGTGTGGCCGTCCCACCTGGGAGTAATTTCTCACTTTCTGTGACAATGTCTTTTTAAGGCCAAATCATGCGCCATCACATGACTCTACCACATTTTGTTTTTCTGTTTATTGATTAATGAACATTCAGATTGCTTCCATGTGTTGGCCATTAAGAATAATGGTGCCATGACCATTCATTTACATGTTTTTGTGTGAACGTATGTTTTCCTTGTTTGGGGGTATATGCATAGGAGTGGAATTGCTGGATCATGTGCTAAGTCTTTGTTTAGTAGCTCAAGCATTAAAACTGCTCTCTTCCTCCTTGTTCCCAGGCAGAAATGGTGCATAGCGCTTTCCAGGCCCAGCGGGCTTTCCTTCTAATGGCCTCTCAATACCAACAACCCCAAGAGGTAAGAGTCTGTCCTGAGAGACAGGACTGCCTGGGGAATGGGGAATGTAAGACAGAAAACAAGAAGGCAACAGAGCCATTTTCTGTGGGGAGCATCCCAAAATTAAGACTGAAGATTCATTTAGGTTATGTCTCTAATCCAGATTGTGTATGGAGCATTTCTCCTATCCTCATCATCTTAGTAGAAAAGTTTTTGAAATATGCATGCCAATTGCAAAAAAAAAGAAAAAAGCAACAGGTGTCTTCTTATTACTACGGTATATCCAGTTGTCCAAAAAGCCATGACACACTTTTGCATAGAAAAACGTAGAAAAAGATGCATCTTGACTTTTCCAACAACCCAATAATATTATTGTTATGATCAAATTCATACCAGGACAATAGACATTCCAAGCTTAAAAGGTCAATTTGTTTATGATGACTGTATCTTATTCTTTTTACTAGTCTCACAATGCATGTATAATCAAGGAAGTATTTACTAATAAGATTTAGTTTGGATTCTGTGCTGCTTTGTTATCAAAGTCTGTTCACTTCTGTGATCATCTATGAATTCTATGTATGAATTTTATTAGTTACATTTCATAAGTAGCATAGATGGGTTAAATCAGTGCTTCTCAAATGCCTTACACTTCCGGATCATCAAGGGTGCTCCGCGGCAATGTTTAATCCTCTAGGCCTGGAAAGTGGTGGGACACGGTAACGTTTCAGCCGTACTGCTTGTGTACTGAACGAAATTAGTCATTAAAAGCAGCCCTATTACTAGCATACCTTGTTGGAAAAAAAAAAAAAAAGGTTTTACCTAGTATTCTGCATCTCAAGTGCACTAGCAATTACACAGATAAAAAAGATAAACAGAATGTTCGTTATGACACACTAGTATAATGCAGTAGCTCCCTCCGGATTCTAAAACAACTCCGGACATTGAAAACGTTGAGCTGAGAATCCTGAGAAGCCAGACTTTGACCTTTAGGGAGTGGTACTTGGTTCTATGAAGGGGTAAGACCCTGGGCCCTCCCTAGGACAGTCTTTCCAGCCTTGCCTACCTAGCGGAGTCACCTGGAACGTTTTCAAAATACCAGTGCCTGGGACCCACCTCAAAGAGTGCTGGCTTAATTGATCTACGGGATGGCCTTGGGTCTGAGAGCTCTGTGGGCTCCACGGGGGACTCTAACTTGCAGCCGAGTCATCACCGTGATGGCTGCGTCCCTCTCCTCTGTGTGAGGTGGGGTTAGCACGTGGACTAGGCAGGAGGCTCTGTGGGGATGGAAATACTCTGTGTTCCACTGTGGGTCCATTTCCCTCCAGCAGCTTGAAAATCATGCCAGGCATGTGTGCATGCCCAAAAATCTTGAGAGGAGAATGGAGGAAAAGAGGTTGCGGTGTGGCCATCCTCCCTGGGGGCGATTTCGCACTTTCTCTCTCACTCTCTCTGTCTCTCTCTGGCAAGCACACAAGCCCTACAGCAACAACAACAACAAAATCTAAAAAAAAAAAAAAAAAGTCCAGTATTTCAACATGGCAAAGGAGTCAGGTGACTTTGATCTCAGAGCACGCGTTGAGTCAGTTACTCAGTGCCAGTGGCAGGTCTGGAAATTGTAAAGGAAAAGCAAATGAATGCTCAAAGCCAGACTCCCAAGTGTTTCTGAAGACCCTGCCCAGAAAATGTCACAGCAGTGTACAGTCAGGGTTGCCGAATCTTCTTGGAAGATGCGGCCGTGATCCGTGCTGCTAAGTTTTGTTGTCCTCTGACAGATAACATAATGCAGTCAAGGAATTCTGTCCCTAATGTACAAGGAAATGTCCACACTGAAATACTGCTATAGACTGGGCCTTCCTTTCATACACAAGCATGAAGAAATACTCTTGAGGAAGTACTCTGAATGTGTGAAGCAAGTATTTTAGTGGGTTTTTTAAAATGTAATTTCTACCTTTATCCAAAAATATAAAAAAGAAAATAAAAAGAGAAATAAAGATAAAACATTTCATCATTTGGGGCCAGATGGTGGTACAGTGGTAAAACACAGTGCTCTGCAAGGCCAACCACATGACAAGATTCCAGGTTCCAATCCAGAGTCTGCTAAGTACACTGGGCACCCATGTGCCCGAGATCTGGGAGTGCCCGAGGCAGGGAGCGGGCCACTATGTGGAGACCCTGTCGGGTATCCTGTCTCTCTCACATACAGAAGTAATAAATAAATAAACATATTTATGTTTTTTCAGGTTTTCACCCTCCATGTCATGCCCAGTTGTGTTGTCATTAACAGTGGAATTTCCCTGTGGTCTGGATGGACAGTTTGAGGAAGGCCTACCACAGTAGCCTCTCACCAGGGGCTCTCTTTATGGCCTTTACCAAATTAACTTGCTATTCTCACTTCATAAATATGCATATGTTTCTGCTCTTATTGACGTTGCTAAATGATTTGGTTCTCTTTACTACCGACTCAAAAGCACCCAAAGGCAATATATGTATTTAATTACTGGAGAAGCTCAGAGCTGGAGCGCAACCGAAATATCTCCTCAGAAACTGCTGTAGGTGGAGACATGGGGCAAAGGGAAACCTTTGCATGAACCTTTCCTTGGCAAGAAAATTACCTTGCTAATCACCCCCTGGCTAGCTTGGGAGGGCTATTCTCCTGCTGGGTATCCATGCTTCACACGGGAAGGAAGGGGCAGCGGTGATCCCATCAGGGTCTGCTCCAGCTGACAGCCTGAAGCTACCCAGTCGCTGCGGAATCCCAACAGGAAAGCTAATCACTCGTTTATCAGGATGCAGAGAGGAGCGTCATCAGAAAGGAGAGTCAGCCTGTCATTCTTCCGCCCAGACTGTTTGCTTTAGCAGCATAAAGCCGCGGATGAGCCTGTGAACTGTCGCTATGGTTGGTAGCTTTGTGGGCATTTACAGACCCAGGACTGTGGAGGCAGGACGGATTTGCTGAGATCCTGTCCTGTGTGTCACTCGTGGTGACTTTTTTTTTTTTTAATCTGATAAGGCACATTAGCTCATCTCTCATCGTGTTGTAAGACATGAATTAGATAATGAATGGCCGGCCAAAGGAAGTGAGGTGGTTATCACACTCCGGGGATTCAGGAAGATTATCGGCGGGGTAAAGGTTAATAAAGAAGGATAGTATCCTTTGTTTTATCAACCATCTCCTACTAAGTTAGTTAGAATTCCAAACGGCCTTGATGGCAGATATTACATAAAGGATAAAACCGTGTATTTGACTAGGGGATTTTTTTTTCCTTTCCCTTCTCCATTTAGGTTGGTGTTGGGATCACTTGGTATTTCAAATAAAATAATTATCAGCTATTTATCATGCTCCAGCACAAAGCTAAATATTTGCTCCAAAGCCACCGTAAATCTGGTATAATAGGTGGGAAGGGTTACGTGTTTTTCCCTTAATCAAAAATTAATTTTAAAAAAGGTCATTGAGTCGTTCGACAAATCTTTTTGAAAGCCAAACATACTTTGGCCTTTTATTTGGATTTGCTCCTTGTTAATCATCCCGGCGGCCTCAATGTAGGTCCTCTTTGCAGGACGGAGCCCGTGTCTTCTGTATAAAGCTGTGTATGTGAAAACTGCAGGCGAGGGGAAGGTCATTCCAGCTGGCATTCCACTCTGGCTCTGCCGTTGTAAATTACTTAGCGGAGGGCATGGCCCATTCCTTTTTATGGTCATGTTCTATATTTGTGTGTGCTGGGGGATGGATCACATGACAAAAGCATCATTTGATATTAGTGTTTGTGTGCACCGACTAGTGAGGGCTCCATCAAAGCGTCACTGTGCGATTGGGGGACTTTTAACTTGTATATTTTGCTCTTAATTGAAAATGCAGACACTCCCCTAAGTACTAACATTACAAATAACTGAGAATAAATTTTATATAACTGTCTTTAGGAGTTACAAATAACTGAGAATAAATTTTATAAAACTGTCTTTAGGAGAAAACAGGCTGCTGTACAGCCTCATGAAAATGCACTGTGCCTCCCAGAGATTTTAAAACATATATTTTGAAACCATGTGTTACTTAAAAGGAAATGTGTTACATTCTTTTTTTTTTTTCCCAGAGAGAGATTTTTGCTATAGGGCATGTGTGTTTGCCTGAGAGACAGAGAAAGACAGACAGTTAGAAATCACCCCTGGGGGGATGGCCACTGCTCCAATCCCATCTGCTCCATTATCCTTTCAGGACCTTGGAGACATACACACACACACACACACACACACACACACACATTTTGAACATGAACAAGTCAACAGTGCCAGAGTGATCAGAGTAATAAAGACCTTGCTGTTCTTCTGATTTAAATAAGAGAATGTCTTGTTGGTGTCTGTTTATTTGAAAGGAGAGGCATTTCCCAAACTCATCAAGAGGAAGAAGAAACTGTGCAGGGTTTTTGCCTTCTCTTTGTCACCTCCCTTCTCCCAGTGCGGTTCGTGTTTGACCTTCTAGTGGCAAACACCTGGAGAAGGGGCTTCATCTTTGATGATCATTTCTTTACATAAACTAAACAGAAAAAAAAATGTTCCTGTCAGGTCCTGGGAGATTCGCTGCTGTGAGAACTAGTGTTTCCTTATCTGGAATCATTTATGAGATAAATTTGCTGGTAAGCAGTTGCTTCAGCTCTTTGGAAGCCTTGTAGCATTACATATCCCAGTCCTCTTTAATTTCAACTCCATTAATTTATTTCTTGAGGCACGTTTTTTCCCCTCCAAGCATTTATTGGCTGTCTACTCTGTAGCAGTCATAGTATTTGGTATGTCTAAATCTTTTTTCTTTTTTTTTTAAGATTTTCTCCATAGGATCCTCTCACTAGAGAGAGAGAGACAGTGAAATAAAGTGAGAAATCACCCCCCCCCCAGGCAGGATGGCCACACTACAATTCCTTCTCCATTCCCCTCCTGGGATTTTTGGGTACACACACACATGCACTTCACATGATTTTTAAGCCACCAAATCTGGAACTCGAGCAGTGGTTGACTATGTGGGGAGTCTGGGG